AAATTCCAAGAAATTTCTCAGTAAATTACTCAAAAAATTCTCAGTAAATTAATCAGTAAATTCTCAATAAATCACTCAGTAAATTCCCAGTAAATTCTCAATAAATTACTTAGTAAATTCTCAGTAACTTACTCAGTCAATTCCCAATAAATTACTTAGTAAATTCTCAGTAAACCACTCAGTACATTACTTAAGAAATTCCTTGAAAATGATATAGTAAATTCTCCGAAAATTACTTAGTAAATTCTCAGCAAATTCCAAGAAAATTATCATTAAATTCTCGGTAAATTCCCAGTAAATTACTGAATAAATTTTCAAAAAATTCTCAGTAAATACCCAGTAAATTATCACTAAATTACTCAGTAAATTCGCAGTAAATTCTCTGCAAATTACTTATTAAGTTACTCAGTAAATTCGCAGTAAATTCTCATAAAATAACTCAGTAAATTCCCATTAAATTCTCAGTAAATTATCTGTAAATTCTAAGTAAATCTCTCAGTAAATTCAAAGTAAATTACTCAGCAAATTCTCAATAAATACGCAGTAAATTATTCGGTAAATTCCTACTAAATTCTCAGTAAATTGATATGTAAATTCTCAGTAAATTCTTAAAAAATTCTCAATAAATTTCACAGTAAATTCTCAATAAATTACTCAGTAAATTCGCAGTAAATTGCACAGTAAATTCTCAGCAAATTCTCAGTAAATTACTCCGTAAATTCTCAATAAATCACCCAGTAAATTCTCAGTTAATTCCCAGAAAATTCTCAATAAATTACTTAGTAAATTCTCAGTGACTTACTCAATCAATTCCCAGTAAATTACTCAGTAAGTTACTCAGTACATTGTCAGAAAATCACTCAGTAAATTGTCTGTAAATTCCTAGAAAATTCTTGTTAAATTCTTAGAAAATTACTCAGTAAAGTCCCAATGAATTGTTAGTAAATTACTTAGTAAATTGTCAGTAAATTTCCAGTAAATTACTCTGTAAATTAATGAATAAATTCTCAAAAAATTATAAGTAAATTACTCAGTAAATTCCCAATAAATTACTCAGTAAATTCTTAGTAAATTACTCAATAAATTCCCAGTAAATTATCAGTAAATTCTAAGTAAATCACTCAGTAAATTCTCAATAAATACTCAGTAAATTTCTACTAAATTCTTAGTAAATTGCTAGGTAATTTCTCAGTAAATTACGTAGTAAATTCCACGTAAATTCTCTGTAAATTCTTAAAAAATTCTAAATAAATTACTCAGTAAATTTCCAATAAATTACACAGTGAATTCTCAGTAAATTCTCAATAAATTCTAAGTAAATTACTCAGTAAATTCTCTATAAATTACTTTGAAAATTTCAAGTAAATTCCCAGCAAATTTAAAATAAATTACTTTGTAAATTCTAAGTAAATTACTCAAAAAATTCTCAGTCAATTACTCAGTAAATTCTCAGTAAATTACACAGTAAATTCCCAGTAAATTATTCAGAAAATTCTCAACCAATTAATCAGTAAATTACAGAGTAAATTTCAAGCAAATTCTCAATAAATTCTCAGTAAATTACTCAATAAATTCCTAGTAAATTACTCAGTAAATTCCCAGTAAATTCTCAGTAAATGACACAGTAAATTCCCAAAAAATTCTTAGTCAATTATTCAATACTCAGTAAATTACACAATAAATTCTTAGTAAATTACTCAGTCAATGAATCCGTAAATTACTCACTAAATTCCCAGAAATTACTCAGTAAATTTCCTGTAAATTTTCAGTAAATTCTCAAAAAAAACACTCAGTAAATTCTCAGTAAATTCCTAGTAAATTACCCAGTAAACTACTTACTAAATTCCCAGAAAATTATCAGTAAATTCTCAGTAAATTACTTTGTAAATTCTTAGTAAATTCCCAGTAAATTCTTTGTAAATTACTTATTAAATTACTCTATAAATTCGTTGTAAATTCTCAGAAAATTACACAGTAAATTACTCAGCAAATTTCCAATAAATTACTCACTAAATTCACAGTAAATTACAGATTAAATTTCCAGTAATTTCCTAGTAAATTCCCAGTAAATTCTTATTAAATTACTCAGTAAATTCTCAGTCAATTAATCATTAATTTATCAGTAAATTACTCAGTAAATTCCTTGTAAATTCTCAGCAAATTACTAAGTAAATTCTCAATAAATCACTTAGTAAATTCCCAGTAAGTTCTTAGTAAATTCTCAGAAAATTCTCAAAAAATTACTCTGTAAATTCTTAGTAACTTACTTAGTACATTACTCAGTAAATTCCTAGAAAATTAGTTAGTAAATTCTCAGAAAAATACTTAGTAAAATCCCAAAAAAATTTCATTAAATGCTTACTACATTACTTACTAAATTCCCAGTAAATTACTTTGTAAATTACTGAATAATATAAATTCTCAGTAAATTATTCAGTAAATTCTATGTAAATTACTTATTAAATTACTCGTTAAATTTCGAGTAAATTCTTAGAAAATTACTAAATAAATTACTCACAAAATTACTCAATAAATTATTCAGTAAATTCTCAATAAATACCTAGTAAATTATTCAGTAAATTCCTACAAAATTCTCAGTAAATAGCTAGGTAAATTCACAGTAAATTACGTAGTAAATTCCACGTAAATTCTCACTAAATTATTAACAAATTTTTCATAAATTCCTCAGTAAATTCTCAATAAATTCTCAGTAAATTACTTAGTAAATTCCCTGTAAATTACTCAGAAAATTGCAAGTAAATTCTCAGTAAATTACACAGAAAATTCCCAGTAAATCCTCAGCAAATTCCTATTAAATTCTCAGTAACTTCTAACTAAATTATTCAAAAAAAATTAAGTAAATTCTTAGTAAATTACACATAAAATTTCCTATAAATTATCAGTAAATTACTTAGTAAATTCTCAGTCAATTAATCAGTAAATTTCCAGTGAATTCTCAATAAATACTCAGTAAATTACTAAATAAATTCCTAGTAAATTTTCAGTAAATTCTCAACAAAATTACACAGTAAATTCTCAACAAATTCCTAGTAAATTCTCAGTAAATTCTCAGTCAATTACTCAGTAAATTACAAAGTAAATTTCCAGAAAATTCTCAGTAAATTACTCAGTCAATTCCTTGTGATTACTTAGTAAATTGCCAGTAAATTATTCAGTAAATTCTCAATAAATCACTCAAAAAATTTCCAGTAAATTCTTAGTAAATTTGCAGTAAATTCTCAATAAATTACTTAGTAAATTCTTAGTAACTTACTCAGTTAATTCCCAGTAAATTACTTGGTTAATTCTCAGTAAATTACTCAATACATTACTCAGTAAATTCTCAAAAAATTACTCAGTAAATTCCCAAAAAATTATCATTAAATTCTCCGTAAATTACTTAGTAAATTCCTAATAAATTTCCCATAAATTCTCAGTAAATTTACTTAATAAATTTGCAAAAAATTCTCAAAAAATTATGTAATAAATTTATTTTTGCTCATTCATTCGCGACGGTAGTTAACATCGTTGCAAATCCTAATCTCTAAATTCGCGCCCACCTCCCATCCCCCACGCCCCGTCGCTCCCTCTTTCCCACTTTTCCCAAACTTTTTGTATTCTCTACGATAAAAATAAATAATTTTTTTTAAAAAAAAAAACCTTCAATCTTCTACCCTAATATCACTCTCTCTTTCTCGCGGCCAGTCGATCGTCACTCTCTCTCTCTCTCTCGCAGCAGCAGCAGCAACAACACCAGCGTGGGTTCGTCCAGGTAATCCTCCTCTTGCTGGCGCAGGCCCTCACAATCTCTCTCTCACTCTCGCATTACCCTCACAGATTGTCTGTAGCAGGAACGGCTTCAACTTCGTCACCAGTTCTCCCTCCGGCATCCATGTATAGTTTTCCTCTGCTTTCCTCTGGTCTCCTCAACTGTCTTCTCCTCTGCTCTCCTCACTGGTTCAATTGATTGAATTATTTTGATTAAGAATATATTTAATTAATGTATTGTGTAGTTGATGTTTAGCATATGCGCTAGTTATAAAAAAATTAAAAAAAAAAAATCTCTTTGTTTTCTAGTAATGTATCTTTTATGTTCTTCAATTTCTGCTAAACCAGAAAATTTTAAGAAAATATAATGAAATCCCATGGGATTTATATGTACTTAGCACTTGTTAAACTCACTGGGTTAAGGAATCAATTAATTAAATTCAATTAAATGAAGAATTCAATTTGAAATCAAAATTACAGCACTGATAGGAAATTGGCTGACTGGAATACAGGGAGAAACTGAGCCTGTAGGGATCTTCTTTTGCAGAATTATGTTTTAATTTAATATGAAAGATAAAGGAAAGTTCATTCAGTACTACTAAATAGGTCATAGTTGGAATAAAAATACACATTTCTCATGATGTGGATTAGATTTTCTACTATGAGAACAAATTAGCAATCCATGACTTATTTACAAACTTTCTTTGATGAGTTAATGGAATTACCTGTGGCACGCTGGTACCACCTCCAGAAAGCATTGAGGGGAATTGAGCTTAGAATTTGGTCAATTGGTCCCAAGAACAGTTGCTGCTGCATAAAGGTGCTTTCTTAATATTGACATGTAATAATGACTTGTTATCACACTCGACATACTAATAGTCTAATACATTCTTGTCATTGTGAAGTGTGGTCCTCATAGTTTCAGCTCCTGACAGCTACTGTTATGGTATTGAATTTGCTTCTAATATGAATATAATACCCAGGCAATTTGTTGGGCATGTGATAGATAATTCCAAGGAATACTCATCATTTGCATTAATTTATCCACCCTAATTTGGGCTATTATCAACCAATATACCTTTGGGCAATCTTTATTCTATTTTATTTAGTCATATTTATTATTTGGGTAGAAGGAATATGATTGATTGTTTGAGAATTATTGTCAAAATACCTCTTTAACACAGATTCTTCCCTGAAGGTGTACTACAACCATCAGCTAACAAACTTGTGGAACTGATGCCATTTCTCTTAGCCATAATGTATATATATATATATTTTTCTACAATGATTGCCGTTGGAAGGTGTGGTAACCTTCTTTGGCCGGGTTGCAATACTGATAGACCAGAATACACAGGCATTCCACATGTTCATTACTGCTCTTCTTCAGGTGCTTTAATTTCCTTGTGTCCCCATTTGATTATTTGCAAGATGAAATTGTTGAGTCTGGTCGTTATAATATGATAGGTATGTTTAATTAAATAACTCATGGAGTTATCATGTGCAGCTGTTGGATCGATCGGGATTACTATATGGAGAGCTTGCTAGATTTGTGTTGAGACTGCTGGGAATTAGAACAAAGCCTAAAAAGGTTCAGCCACTCCTGATGATGGTTTATGAGACTGATTTATGCCACTGAGACTCAAATATGTGTTCCATTAGTTTAATGGTATTTTATAGTGTGTAGGTTTTTTCATTTTTCATTCAAAAATTTTTAATGGCAAACATGATTCAAGCTCCAAGGTTTATTTGGCAGCACTGCTCACATTGTTGTTTTTCTTGTCTTTCTCTCCCCCATTTGCTTGGATTTTTAAAAGCAACATTTTTTTTTGCTACTAGGGAGAGAATTTACTTTCCCTTCATTTGTGAAGCAAATCATACCATAATAGAAAGCTATTGTGATGATGAGAGAATGGTGTTATCTTCACACAGGCAAAGCGTTGATGTCGATTAAGGCGTCGTTTAGCAACATAGCAAATGTGTTGCTAGACTGGGATGATGTTCACAACGATGATTTCTTTGCTAATTAGAGACCTGAAGAATCTACAATCCATGTATGCTTTCTTTGCTAATCCTGTTGATTTGGTGTTCTTGCTCATTGTAACCAAGTTTACATAATACTAACTTTAGATGTTGTTGTTGAAATATTTTCAGGGATTTTCAAGGGAACAAATTAACTGGTCAAATTCCTGATGAGATAGGCAACTGTGTTTCTCTGATGCTAGTGTAAAATTTCATCTTCTTTCTTCATTACAATTTTATTTACATATATGTGGATATATTAATTTCTTCTTCTGTCTTTAGGTGATTAAGATTTTTAGTTTTTATGTTAATGGTTGGGTTTCCATAATGCAGGGATTTATCTGATAATTTACTGTATGAAGATATACCATTCTCAATATCCAAGCTTAAGCAGCTTGAGTTATTGTAAGTTAATACCTGAAGTGAAGTACTATTAATTAAATATGCTGGATTGTTTAAGATAGATAAGTTTTTAGTTCTGCCAACCAAGGGCTTGAATAAGCTCTGTAAATGCAGGAATTTGAAGAACAATCAATTGACTGGTCCTATCCCTTCAACATTAACACAGATTCCCAACCTCAAAACTCTGTGAGTCATAATTTTTTTATTTTTTTATTTTTTAGTGGAGTCCATGCAGTTAACATTACCATATGCTTTTTTGATTTTATTTACACCAAAGCCATAGACACTTGTGCTAATATATATGTATGCCTTGTCTTTGTGTAAATTTATTCTGTAGGGACCTTGCTCGTAACCAGCTTATTGGTGAGATACCGAGGTTAATCTATTGGAATGAAGTATTACAATATCTGTAAGTACTACATCAATTACGGTTTAACAACTGATAGATAAAATCCAATTTCATTATCAACCATTGATGCTATTAACACTTAAACATTTAATATTAACTTGAAGCATCTAATATCTGCTGGACGGAAATGGTTGAGTATACAGTCAATTTTTACCCTGTTTGACAAGAATTATATTTCTGCTCAATCATTTGTGCATTGTCTTACTGTTTTATGTGAGAGGCTTAGTTTTAAAGGCTTAAATTGCATCCATGGCAGCAACTAATAAGTTGGGATCTGTTGACAATGTTGCAGACAAGTGCTTCCTTAAAATTCACTGTTTTGAACCCCGAAGGACGCATTTGGACCATGGTAGCTGGTGGTGGTGCAAGTGTTATTTATGCTGATACTGTGAGTTTCTTAATATACCATTCATGTGATTCATAGCTTACAATTCAGCTGGACTATTTTGTTGCTTGTTTACTTTTTATCCCATCTGTTTATTGTAAATGAGCGTATGTGGCGCTTATTTTCCCATAATCCCTTTGTCCCTCTTCGTTTCTTGGATGCCTTGTATATGGGTTTCTTTTTCTCATTTAGGTTGGAGACTTGGGTTATGCATCAGAACTTGGGAATTATGCAGAGTATAGTGGTGCTCCTAATGAGGAAGAGGTGTTGCAATATGCTAGGGTTGTCATTACGTGCTAGAGGACTCTAAGCTTTTGTAGAACCTTTGTTAATGTCATCCCTTGAAACTTGAAAGCCTCGAAAGACTTTGATTGATGAAGCTTGAAAGATTTGTTAGATGAACTTGATTCATTCCATGTTTTATTACAAGCTATGACTATGTATTGTTTTGTTAAAGATCTCGGATATTATTCATGCAAACCCTTTATTACTAGTACCATTCACTGAGTATCCAAGCTCATCCTCTCTATATATATGTAGGTGATGAGCAGGACGGCGGCGACGCCTAGATGTACTTTGCAACTTGTTTCGGATTTGCATTTTGTAGCATCTTGAAGATCATGCTTCTTAGCTTGCATTTCACTGTATTTTGTATATGATGGTTCGAGAAGCCTTTTGGTCAAGATGTATTTTTGCACTTCATTTTATTTGTATTCAAGTTGTAAAGCTAAGTAAAGATGTATGCCATTTCATTTGACTTCTGCACAGCTCTTATGGACTAATTAGTTTTGTATATATTACTTCCGCACATGTTAGCCCCATATGTAATACTCTGATTGTGTGTGAATTTCGGAAGTTGGCCTTCGGTAATCTCGGATTACTGGCCATCACGGCACCATTTTACTAGGGGCGGAATGGGGTCGTGACAAAACTATCTATAAATTACTACATAAATTACCAGTAAATTCTTAGTACATTACTCAGTAAATTAGTAGTAAATTCTCAATAAATTACTCAGTAAATTGCTAGTAAATTCCCAATAAATTCCCATGAACTTCTCATAAAATTTCTCAGAAAATTCAACGTAAATTCTCTATAAATGCCTTAGTAAATTCCGAGTAAATTCCTAGTAAATTCTAAGGAAATTACTTACTAAATTCCCATTAAATTCTCAATAAATTCTCAGTAAATTACCTATAATTCCAAGTAAATTCTCAATAAATTCAAAGTAAATTCCCTGTAGATTCTCTATCAATTTCCAGTAAATTCATAGTAAATTCTCATTAAATTTTCAGTAAATTCTGAATAAATTACTCAGTAAATTCCTTGTAAATTACACATTAAATTCCTAGTAAATTACTCCATAAATTTTCAGTAAATTATTCAGTAAATTCCAAGTAAATTACTCAGTAAATTTCTAGTAAATTCCAAGTAAATTACAATGTAAATTCCTAGTAAATTCTCAGTAATTACACAGTAAATTACCTGTAAATTACTAAGGAAATTCTCAGTAATTTATCGATAAATTCATAGTAAATTCCAAGTAAATTACTCAGAAAATTACCAGTAAATTTTCAGTAAATGCCCAGTAAATTACTCAATAAATTCCTTGTAAATTCTCAGTAAATTTCCTGTAAATTCTCAATAAATTCCCAATAAATTGTCATTAAATTACTTAGTAAATTTCCAGTAAATTATCAGTATATTCCCAGTAAATTCTCAGTAAAATACGCATAAATTTCCAGAAAATTCTCACTAAATTACTCCGTAAATTCCCAATATATTCTCAGTAAATTCCCAATTAATTCTCTGTAAATTGCTTAGTAAATTCTCAGTAAATTCACAGTAAATTACCCAGTAAATTTTCAGTAAATTCTCAGAAAATTACTGAGTAAATTCCCATTAAATTCTCAAAAATTTTCTCAGTAAATTCCTAGTAAATTCTCAGAAAATTAATATGTAAATTCCTAGTAAATTTTTTGTAAATTCCCAGTAAATTCTAATTAAATTACTTAGTAAGTTCTAAGTAAATTCTCAGTAAATTACTCAGTAATTTCCAAGTAAATTCTCAGAAAACTCCCAGTAAGTTCCTGATAAATTATCAAAAAATTACATACTAAATTCCCAGTAAATTCTCATTAAATTATTCCGTAAATTCAAATTAAATTCTCAATAAATTTCAAGTAAATTCTTTGTGAATTACTGAGTAAATTCCCATTAAATTATTGTGTAAATTCCCAATAAATTCTCTGTAAATTCCAAGTAAATTCCCAGTAAATTACTCATGAAATTCTAAGTAAATTCTCTGAAAATAACTCAGTAAATTCAAAGTAAAATTCCCAGTAAATTATTCAGTAAATTCCTAGTAAATTCTAAGTAAATTACAAGTAAATTCTCTGTAAATTACAAAGTAAAGTTCCAAAAAATTCCCTGTGAATTACTAACTAAATTCCCAGTAAATTACACAGTAAATTACTAAGTAAATTTTAAGAAAATTCCATGTAAATTACTCAATAAATTCCTAGTAAATTACTCAATAAATTCCCAATAAATTACTGGGTAAATTCCCAGAAAATTACTAAGTAAATTCTCAGTAAATTTCTATTAAATTCTAATTAAATTACTCACCAAATTTCAAGTAAATTCTCAGTAAATTATCCAGTAAATTCCCAGTGAATTCTTAATAAATTACTCACTAAATTCCCAGTAAATTCTAAGTAAATTACCAATAATTTCTCCGTAAATTACTCAGTAAATTATTTAGTAAAATCCCACTAAATTCTTAGCAAATTACTCTGTAAATTCCAAATAAATTCTCAGTAAATTAGTCAATAAATGCCCGGTAAATTCTCACTAAATTACTCAGTAAATTCCAAGTAAATTACTCAATAAATTTTCAGTAAACTACTCTGTAAATTCCCAGTAAATTCTTAGTAAATTACTCAGTATATTCCCAATAAATACTCTGAAAATTCACAGTAAATTCTCAAAAAACTATTAAGTAATTTCCCAGTAAATTCTCATTAAATTACTCAGAAAATTCTCAGTAAATTACACATTAAATATTAAGTAAATTCTCAGTAAATTTCCTGTCAATTCTCAATAAATTACGGAGCAAATTCCCAGTAAATTCTCCGAAAATTCTGAATAAATTATTTGTGAATTACTCAGTAAATTCCAAGTAAATTCTCACTAAATTACTGTGTAAATTCCCAGTAAATTCTTCGTAAATTCTGAATAAATTATTTGTAAATTACTTAGTAAATTCCAAGTAAATTCTCACTAAATTACTATGTAAATTCCCAGTAAATTCTAAGTAAATTATTCAGTAAATTCCCAATAAATTCTCAGTAAATTACAGAGTAGATTGCCAGTAAATTCTTAGTAAATTCTCATTAAATTACTCAGTAAATTCTGAATAAATTCTCATTAAATTACTTAGTAAATTCCCAATAAAATCCCAGTAAATTCTTATTAAATTACTCAGTATATTCATAGTAATTTTTCAGTAAATTCTCAGTAAATTCCCTGTAAATTCTCAATAAATTCCCAATAAATTGTCATTAAATTACTTAGTAAATTTCCAGTAAATTATCAGCATATTCCCAGTAAATTCTCAGTAAAATACGCATAAATTTCTAGAAAATTCTCACTAAATTACTCCATAAATTCCCAATATATTCTCAGTAAATTCCCAATTAATTCTGTGTAAATTGCTTAGTAAATTCTCAGTAAATTTCCAGTAAATTCACAGTAACTTACCCAGTAAATTCTTAGTAAATTACTGAGTAAATTCCTATTAAATTCTTAGAAATTTTCTCAGTAAATTCCTTATAAATTCTCAGTAAATTACTATGTAAATTCCCAGTAAATTCTAATTAAATTACTCAGTAAATTCTAAGTAAATTCTCAGTAAATTACGCAGTAATTTCCAAGTAAATTCTCAGAAAATTCCCAGTAAGTTCCTGATAAATTATCAAAAAATTACATAGTAAATTCCCAGTAAATTCTCATTAAATTATTCCGTACATTCCCATAAAATTCTCAATAAATTTCTAGTAAATTCTTTGTGAATTACTGAGTAAATTTCCATTAAATTATTGTGTAAATTCCCAATAAATTCTCTGTAAATTCCAAGTAAATTCCCATTAAATTCTCAGTAAATTACTCATGAAATTCTAAGTAAATTACACAGTAAATATTAAGTAAATTCACAGTAAATTACTCAGTAAATTACTGAGTAAATTCCAAGTAAATTCTCAGTAAATTTCCTATCAATTCTCAAAAAATTACTGAGTAAATTCCCAGTAAATTCTCCGTAAATTCCGAATAAATTATTTGTAAATTATTCAGTAAATTCCAAGTAAATTCTCACTAAATTACGGTGTAAATTCCAAGTAAATTCCGAATAAATTATTTGTAAATATTCAGTAAATTCCAACTAAATTCTCACTAAATTACTATGTAAATTCCCAGTAAATTCTAAGTAAATTATTTAGTAAATTCCAAGTAAATTCTCAGTAAATTACAGAGTGAATTCCCAGTAAATTACTGAGTAGATTGCCAGTAAATTTTTTGTAAATTTTTATTAAATTACTCAGTAAATTCCGAATAAATTCTTATTAAATTACTCAATATATTCATAGTAAATTGCTTAGTAAATTTCCAGTAAATTCCCAGTAAATTCTCAGTAAATTCCCTATAAATTCTCAGTAAATTTCCAGTAAATTATCAGTATATTCCCAATAAATTCTCAGTAAAATACACATAAATTTCCAGAAAATTTTCACTAAATTACTCCGTAAATTCCCAATTAATTCTTTGTAAATTACTTAATAAATTCTCAGTAAATTTCCAGTAAATTCTCAGTAAATTCCCATTAAATTCTCAGAAATTTTCTCAGTAAATTCCTAGTAAATTCTCAGTAAATTACTATTTAAATTCCTAGTAAATTTTCAGTAAATTTCCAGTAAATTCTAATTAAATTACTCTGTAAATTCTCAATAAATTCTCAGTAAATTACTTAGTAAATTCTAAGTAAATTCTCAGTAAATTACTCAGTAATTTCCAAGTAAATTCTCCGAAAATTCCCGGTAAGTTCCCGATAAATTATCAAAAAATTACATAATAAATTCCCAGTAAATTCTAATTAAATTATTCAGTAAATTCCCATTAAATTCTTAGTAAATTCCTAGTAAATTCTTTATGAATTGCTGAGCAAATTCCTATTAAATTCCCAGTAAATTATTGTGTAAATTCCCAATAAATTCTCAGAAAATTTCAAGTAAATT